TACCATTAATTTCATGCGTTGGCATTCTTTGAGGCCAGTTGTCGCCTTTGCTGTTGTCGTTGTCACTGTCCGACTGCAATGCTCTCTGCAGTCTACCCCATTTGCTCGATGGCAATTGAATTTGCTTTGCCGTCGATTGCCGTTTGCCGCGATTCGGAAAGAATGGATCGTCGACGTTGTAAAGATCGCTCAGCTTCAGTTTTTTGCCGCGATGCGGAAAGAAGGGATCGTCCAGTTTGAAGAGATCGCGTTGCTTTTTGCCGCGATTCGGATAGAATAGATCGTCATACTTGAACAGATCTTTGACGCGGTCGCGTTTGCCGCGATTCGGCACAAACGGCTCGTATCGATTCAATAGCTCCTCCAGGTCGGGTGTGGAGTGCTTACGGCCACGCGGTGGTATAAATGGATCGTCCTTTGGCTTTAGATTATCTGCAAGAAAGATAAGGGAGAAGGAAAAGGAGAGAGAGAGAGAGAGCGAGAGATGCGTGCCGTAAGTGCCAGACAAGTTGTTATTAAGGCCATACCATGAGGGCCCCATGCATTTAAAATGAAACGAGACAAGAATAGAACTCAAGTGAGCAAGTGAACTAGAGGCTGGTCCTTTTGTAATTTCAACACCCTGGTACTCGTTACGCCCAGAGAATTATGATTTATGCATGCTCACCGCCCAGTGGGTAGTTCTCCTTTTGATTCTGCTTCTCGCGCCGCACCAGCACATAGTGTGGCTCCTCGACAATCAGCGGCGGCTCCAAGTGCCCCGATAAATTGTACTTTTTCCATATGTACATGCCCGGATGATAGAACTCGGCCGCACTGCCGCCTTGGCCCTCAGTTGGGAACTGCGATGGGTAGAGCAGCTGCATGGCCCAGTGCAGGAACTTGGCCAGATCCTGTTCGCCAGTGAGCAGCATGAACACCTCGTTGTTGCGGTCCCTCGCATTAAGCCCCTCATTGCCGTCGCTGTCATCTATATCATAGTAGTCGTTTTCGTCCATTTCTAAGGACTCATCCAGATCGTCTTCGTTGACCGAATCCTTCATTCTGTCCAGCTGCTGTCGCATGCGCGACACGGCCTCTCTGGTTCTGTTGAAGGTGAGAAATCGTTTGAATAACCCGATAATCTCTACATGGCTAAGGTGTGTGTATGTGTATGTGTGTGTGTTAAGATTAATGAGGCATCATTTGTAGCTCGATGTCAGTTTAAGGATCGTCATTGTGCATCATCTCAGCAAACATTTTTCTTTTAATAGAGCGTGGGTTGCTCAGGTTTCAATTACACTCGCGCACGTCTCTCGCTGGGTTTTCTCTTTTTTCTCATACATACACAGTGCGCGTCGTAAATTGATGAACATGTTTGTGTACGTGGGCTGCCTTCAACAATGACAGCCACTCGGGCAGCTGACCCAGAAAAGCTACCAATAGACCTCCAACTTTTCCCCGCTCCACATCCTATGCAGAATCGACTATGGGCACTGTGTTAATCTTGCTGTCATGTCTCATCCAGTGCTCATCCAATCAATAGGCGATTCCCTTTTATAAATTGCTGTGTAAAATTACAAATTAAAGGCACTGAAACAACTGAAAGTTATGCGGGCTTAAGGCCAATTAATCGACGCATTTAACAAATCAACAAAAACACACAAATGAAGAAAACTCATGAAATGATTAATTGCAATTTAATAGTAGCGCCCAAGACCAATCATTTTTCAACGCGATGTTCATATAATTTAAAACTATATTTAAGAGATGCTCAAGATGTTCGACTATGCGCTATACCCTATAAAATGGCAGGGGATGAGCAAACACAAAATATAAATTTGAAGATGTGGGCAGAAATGATAAATATAATTAAATTAATTAAATAAAATATAAATATAAATATAAGTATAAATATAAATATAAATATAAATATAAATATAAATATAAATATAAATATAAATATAAATATAAATATAAATATAAATATAAATATAAATATAAATATAAATATAAATATAAATATAAATATAAATATAAATATAAATATAAATATAAATATAAATATAAATATAAATATAAATATAAATATAAATATAAATATAAATATAAATATAAATATAAATATAAATATAAATATAAATATAAATATAAATATAAATATAAATATAAATATAAATATAAATATAAATATAAATATAAATATACTGAGTATAGGGTATTCGAAATAAGAATAATTATTATAGCCGCAATAAAATTTCATGGGCAGACGCCGATTCTCTCACTTGCCACAGGATGGCCAGGGGCGCGGAGTCCCTTTCGGCTTTTAAGCTGAAATGAAAAGTGAAACTTAATGCATGTTGCAATGTTTCGCTTTGTTTTCGTTTCATTTCGTTTCGTTTCGTTTCGTTTTGGGGCCAATGAATTTGCTGACAGTTGTTATTTTGCGAAAACTTTATAAAATAAATCAACATATGCATACACGATGCGGCGTGGCAGAAACAAAACTCCGTCGTCGTCGCACTGATTTTTTCACGCCCATTAATTGGTTTTGCGTGTTTTCGGCCGACAGCCAAATTGTCGACGATTTGTTGCTCTTATTGTTGACTTTTGGCATTGCGATTAAAAACCTGGCGCCCAGGCTGCAAGCTAAGCAAAGGTTGAACCCGAGCTCGAGCTTGACTTTAGAGCTGCAACACTTGATAAATTGGAGACCGCCTTTAATTGGCTTAACAACGACATGAACCGAATCGAGAAAGTTTGTTGCTTGTTTTTTGGACACTTTCTGAGGTCACCTTGAAGCCGTTGGGCCTCGACTGATTGCCACCCAGGACGACGGGGACACATCCTGCACTCACCTGGCTGCCACCAGAGCGCGATTGTATTCGCGTGGACAATTGTTGGCTGCCAGACAGCGCCTGGCCCAGAAATTCTGCAGCGTGGGCGTGGCATGCTTCAGCCCAAACCCATGGCCATGGCCAGGGCCATGCTGCGTTGCAATTTCCTGCGGCGCTGATTGCTGTCGTGCCTCTAAATCATAAGCCTCGCTCAGTGCTTTTCGATTAAAATCCGTCGGCTGTGGCTGCGGCTGCGGCTGTGGCTGTGGCTGTGGCTGCTGCTCCACTTCCACGTCGTGGTTGTAGGGCGAAATGTGTTTGCCGGCCGCGGATGCCGGCTCCTTACTGTGCACCATATCTGGCGATGGATCGATGCCCCCGTCAAACAGGACGCGTGCATCCTTTTTCCAGCGCGCTTGCTCGTGCAGCATTTGCTGTAGCTGCTGCTCCCGCTGCTGCTGTTGCTGTTGCAGCTGTCTCAAGGCCACCACCTCCGTAGCCGCGATAAGCGATGGTGGCAAAGATAAGACCACATTGCCTTGGCCGTTGTTGGCAAAGCCTCCGCTACAATAAATCGCCAGGCAGACCCAGAGCCAGGCGAGCGTGAGTCTCATGCTGTCTGCAGCTTGGTTGTTGTTGCTGTTGTTGTTGCCTCTGGCCTGCCTCGATCGGGCTGGCTGTTCCAATTTCTGCCTGTGCTTCGCGTCGGGCGCTTTGATGCAGCGACCGCTGTGTTCTGATCCTAGAAACTGAAAGTGGCTGCAGAGCAACTTCACTTTTTATAGCCGCCAAGACGCTGGCTGGCCAGCGGGTCCCGGCCAGTCCCGGCCCGTCGGCACACAGAGTTTTGGGAATACGCTCTGGACCCTTGCCGCATATGTGGGCATTGTTTGTTCGGCGCAGTGCACCGTGAAATTAAATACCAAATGCTAGTGGGAAATATGAGTGGAGCCACCAGAGATGCTTCAAAACTGAATCGAAATGTTGGATGTGACACAGTGCTATGCCCTAACCTATATATATATATACGATCTGGAGGGTATCCAGACTCGTGCTGTTCTATTGCAATATTTTCCTCTCAGTGCTGGCGTGGGCGGCTGAACAAACCGTTATTTCTCTGTTTGCTGATTGCTCAACTCAATTGGGGCATGGGAAAGGTTTGCTGGAGCGGCCAGGTCTGTGCACAAATTAGCTGACAACTTCTCACACGAGCAGGACAAATGAGGCAGCGGCACTGCCGAAACATTCCCAGCGATAAAATCTCTGACCAAGCGGACCACAGCTCTGGCTGCCTTAGACTCGCCAAGTCGGCGCTTTCTTTCAAGGCACGGCCAATAGATGAGCTCTGCCTTTGAGAATTTATTACTCGCTAATGCTCGATCGCATTTGTCTGCGGCAAAGGGCTGCTGCGGCTGCAACAACGGCAACAACAACAACAGCAACAACAGCACAAACACAATTGTTGAGTAATGAGCTCGGCACGTTATTAATGTCACTGGGCCTGGTACTCCGGCCAGTTCTCGGTCTCGTTCGCGTTCTCGTTCTTGTTCTCGTGCTGGAGCAGCTCTTTTGTGTCTTAGGGCCACGTTTTTTAATTAAGTAATTCGCTGACTTTGTTAGCCCTATGGGCCCTCGCTCTGATCGTCTTTAGAAACGGCTGCTGTTTCTTCTTGTTACTTTTGGTTGTTGTTGTTCTTGTTGTTGTTGCAGCTTTTTGTTTAATCCGGCTAACAAATTGCTTCATTTCAATTTATTTGCATTTGTTGTTGCCTCTGCTGCTGCACGTCTTGGCTGTTCTTTTTCTTCTGCTGTTGTCTGTAGTTCGTGGCTGCAGTTTGTTGTGCTCTGCTCTGCTTGGAAAACCTTTTTTTCCGATTTTTTTTTTTTTTTTTGCCTTTGCGGTCGTGTTCTAATTTATTTGTCTTTGATTGTGGCCATGTCTCTGCGGCTCAATGTGAGTAATGTCTGATCGTGGCTTTGCTTTCAGTCTTTCTCCTACTAGTTGTTGCGCAAATTAAGCAAACATACATCATTGCTCGATCCATTAGAATCTGGCGCCCTGGGCGCAGCCCGCTACCGATATGTCTTGCCTTGATATATGTTGGCAATTAGAGCGCTAATCAAAACCAATCGCACGCTGAATTTATGTGCAACGGCGACTAACAACTCGTATTCTAATTGCAGCTGGAAATCAACGAGGTCTTTGAGCTACGCAAGGCGCAGCGATTGCAGCAGCAACTGCAGGAGCAACTCGAGGCCGTGCGACAGGCAGCAGCGGCGGCCAAGCAGCTTGATGAATTGTCGCGTTCTACGGAATCTGATAGCGGCTTTGACAGCAGCAGCACAACAGCAACAGCAGCAACTGCAACATCAACAGGCAGCAAATGCAGCAACAACAACGGCAACGCCAATAGCAAACCAGTGACAACTAAACTAAGAGCTCTGCCGCCGCCAGTCTCGAGTCGATGTACTTCGGCTGAGACAACGCCTCCTGCCACTGCTGCTGCCCAGCCGGATGATGTGAACATTTGGGCAAACAAATTTCTACGTGATTTGGACAATCTGATGGGTGGCGATAAGCTGCCGTCGCATCTGGCATCCAGTGCTGGCGCAGGCTCGGATTCCGCCTCCTCCAGCAGCTCGCCCACGTCCAGGACAGCGCCCATGCTGCTCTCAGCAGCGGCCAGCGCAGCCCTGCAGAGTCGCTTTGGCAAGAACGCAATTGTCAGCAACGAACAGCAGCAGCAAAATGGACTCGTCTTGAAACCGGAGAAGCATGTAAGTTAAATGCAATCATAAATTCTCACACTGAGATTTCATAATCTGAAATCACTTATATATTCCCTTGTAATCTCTTGCACGATTTCAACATGAGGCAAGCCCCACATATTTTATGTGGGTTAGATAAAAAGCGCTTAAAACAAAGGCATTTAATCTAAAGCCAAACAATGTTGTCCACACACGCACACAGTCTCCACCTCTCCTGCTCCCCGCTTGCTGCTCGCTGCTGCACGAGCATATTCCCCAAAAAGAAGAGCAGAAAAATTGCCTCTCGAGAACTGCCGCCATATGTGCCATATGCTGTGCCCCGCGACTGTGCCGGATGCGCAAGTGAAGCGCGTGAAATTTATGAGCAGCACATTGATGCAAGGGGCAGAGAGGCTGCAGCAGGGTGCGGGGTGCAGGGTGCAGAGGGCGGCGATAGGCAGTCACTTGCAGGCTGCTGCCACTTGAATGAGTTCAACTTTGAACTGTTGAAAAGATAGGGAAAATATATGAAGAGCCAAACAGAAGCGAATTTGATGACTGAGGCTGTGGCTGACCCGTTGCACTTTCGGGCTGCTGCCCTGAACAGAACTCGCCGAGATGCAGCGCCATCAAATGTGTAATAAAATTAAGCTAATTAGTGAATAATTTAAGAAAAACTTCAGCGTTGAGTGGCAGGCCACAAAATATGCCAGAATCAAGTAAATTAATTCAAGAGAACTGATGCAACTGCAACTGCAGCGCTCCTAGGCTCAAACAGACAACTCGACTGCGGTCACACACACACACACACACAGAGAGAAAATAGTGAGTGAGAGAGAGAGATTTGGCTGCTGAGGTTCGAGTCACACTCACTCGATGACCCACTTAATCCAGACATAAACCATAAACCAAAGCCCAGAAACCCAAGCAACTTGTTAGCTGTCTCTGGCTTATCATATCAAATGGATCTAATTAAAACATTTATAAGCCCAGGCAGCTCATAAACGGCACTGAGTCTGTGGTCTCTTGTTGGCTGTCGTCTGTCGTCTGTTGTTTGTTGTTTGTTGTTAGTTGCATATGCTTAGCATACATTTTGCTTTGAGTTTGCTGTGATTATCTGTAGAAAAACCTTATAAAGCCGGCTGCTGCTGCAACGACAGCGACAACGACAACAGCAATAGCAATAGCAACAGCAACAAATATTAATTTCCAAAACGCGTGCCAGTGGAAAAACACAACACCAAAATGCCGCAAAAGCCAATAAATAATATAAACCAGAAGAAACTTATGCATTTGAGTTGAATACGCTGAACTAGGAGATGCCCTGTAAAATGATATGTATATATGTGCATACGTGTGGCTTACCATACCCAACTTGAGCGATTTCAACATTTTACAGGGTATGCCAGTCAGCGACTTGGTGTTGACACGACTCTAGCCACAAATTTCTCAAAAGCCAGCTAGGTAAATTTCCATCAATCGTTAAACTGCAGAGACACAAGGAGCAGCACATGATGCCATGCCACATATGCTCCATGTATTCTATATATACTTCATAATTTCTGTGCTAATGATATGCATGGCTGCATACCCTTTCTGCCACTCATTATCTCTATTTCAGTCTCTGACTCTCTCTCTCTCTCTCTGTCTGTCTCTCTGTGGCCAGGCCCGACCTTTATTTTGAGCACAACAGGAAACTGATGTCGACTCTGCTCTGTTTTGTTAAATATTCCATGACATGCATGAAGAATTTTTTGGCGCAACCTCAGGCATGAGCCCAATGCTTAAAGCATGAGCTGTGCCCGCTGTATGCCACTGATTTCCTTCAGGAATTGCAACAGGGTATGTGGGCGCTTGCTGCTGCTACTGTCTCCAAAATGTTGCCAGTCGAGCTGTCATATTTCACAGTAATCGCTCAAGTAAAAGTGCCAATTAAAAGCGCTTAAGCCCCAAACCTGCAGTGCACTAATTAACGTCGAGAATGCGGCTCGTCTGGCAGACTTTACCCAGAGGCATTGAGTGAGTCAGTCAGTTGGTTAGCTGGTTAGTCAGTCAGCGGGCCGACTACCAATAGCTGCATAAATCAAAAAAACGATGCAGAGCGAGCGGCAACCTTATCGAGGACACAAGTGCGTGCCTTGTTTGCAAAAGAGCTCCGCAAACGACCCGAGAGCACAGGCTGTCAACGAAAGTAAAGCAAAAACAGATGTTTTTCGGTTTCTCATTCGAAAGGTGGGCCAGTGAATTGGGTCAAAACGCCGCCCGGCGGCAGATACTCAAACAAAGATCAAGATGCAGTGCTTCCACTTCACTCCTGCCCAGCTGTCAGCACTGTGCTGTGCCAGACCAAGTGGAACCCAACGCCCCAATTCAGTTGCCCCTTGTGCTGTTTATGAGGCGCGCTCAGTTGGCTGCGAAAGTGAATCTTCGCATGTGTGGCATGTGCAGTGCCATGCAATCCGCGCTTAATGATGACGAGCCATGCAGAGTTGGCCAGTTGGGCCAACACAAAGGCCGCGCGCTCCACACAAAGCTTTTCACGCATCGCCACAATGCTGCAATGCAATGCGCTGCTGCTGCATCAATGGACCACGGACATTGGACAGTTTTGACTTAAGTAGAACTTGCAAATCACTGCAAGGCAAACAAACGTGACGAGCAACAGTTGCTGCTGCTGCAGCTGCTGTTGCTGTTGGCCAAGGAGGCGAGAGAACTGACTGGAAAACGATGGGTTGGCCAGGCGTTTAAGTGTTTTGATTTGATAATTATTATCAGAGAGCATGCGTGACCGCAGGCGGGCAGAGGCATGTCCAATCGATTGGCGATTGTCTGGACAGGCCCGTGTACCACAAACAGGCTATATACACATATATATACTGTATATATTGTATATATTGACAGGGTCGGGTGCGGAACGAAATAGAGGGGCCTTCTTTCTGGGTCATACATCAATAAATGTGGAACATTGAGGCGTTGCCTGCATTGCATTTGTCATTAAGTTTCTGATGTATGGAGCGCAGCAGACGTGTACACAAATTTAGCTCCCTCTCTCTCTCTCTCCCTCTCTCTGTCTCCCTCTCGCTCACTTTGAGATTTCTCTCATAGACTTTTATGATCAATTAGTGGCATTTACAGTTGCCCATTCTCCATGCATTGCGTTCAGATAACCCCTTTAGGGCCATTTGACAATATTTGATTGTGTCATTTGGAGTTCGTTTTATTGCATTCTTCATTAACTAACCGAAGAAAACATTTCATTTGAGTGCGTGGCGTTGTCAGTTTGTTGTGAGAAATATTCACATTTTATTGCATTTAAATTGGCTTTTGGCAGCGTTTCGGATATCGAATAACGAACTCAACTGCAGTGGAAAATCAAACTGATTTTCCTTGTCACTCGCCCCAATCATAAAAGGCTTCAATTTCAGTCTCAGCAACAGCAACAGTAACAACAACAAACAAAAAATTCCAAATCGAATCAAATAAAACGATCGATAGTCGACTTGTCGTGGAACATATGTTAGACAAGTTCAACTTGGCTCCATAATTGAGAATTTTGTTTGTCTTGATAAAATCGCTAAATTAATATGGAACAGGCGACAGATCGATTGACTGCATCAATAAATAAACGTGAAATGTAAAAGTTTTATTAGTGCACTGACTGAATACAGTTTTCGATCTAGTATTCGGAGCTGGCGCTGGCGCTGGAACTGGAACTGGAACTGGAGCCGAGGCGCGGCGCCTACCTGGCTATGCCCATAAAAGCCGCGACTGTTTGGCCGACCAATTAATGCGTCGCCAGCGAGAGTTGGCGGCTCATTAGCACGCAGTTGGCTGCTACGCCATTGGGCATTGCTATCGTCGACGACATCGACGGTATATCGACGAGCCTATATTAATAATTCATTGGAGCTGCTGTGCACAGACTGCGTTCGCTTAGCTACTCCATAATGCATTACAAATTTCGATAGCAGCAATTGCAGTCGCAGTTGCAGTTGGCATATTCCCCAAGGATATGCTCTGATGCCAGCCACATCCTGTCAGCAATTGCTACACTTACTGCATATAGGCTTGCATCGGCAATGAATTTAGTTGGTGAATTCATATTTTGCTCTGCCTCAAATTCCAATCCTTACGCTGGGAAATTTGCAAACAGATGTTGATTTGGTGCTTGCATTCCTGCTGGTCAAGCAAACGATGCTTGACACAGTCTTGCCTTCCATTCCCTGCCCCCCCATTGGTCCGGCTCTCCCTTCATATGCCTGTTACAGTTCCAGGCCAGGCTCGTTAGCCATTTTACTGCTGTTACAGTTTCGGAGCAAAAAGCCCCCAAGGAGCTGAGAGCGCAGCAACGGCAACCTGCTACATTTTTTTTTTCTTTATCATACGCTGCTGTTTTAAACCGAGCCACACACACACACACATACAAGAGCATTGGCATGTTTTTTTTTTTTTTGCCAATAAATCATATAAATCAATTTCCGCCTGTTGCTGCTTTTAAAATGAATTTTCGCTGGCTGTCGTCCACGTCGACGTTGGCAGGCCCGAGTAAAAAGCAAATTGTCAATCGCTTGCCAAAGGCTTGTAAATCGAATTGACATAACGAACTCAGCGACTGCACCACGGTCACCACCCCGTGCACAGGCAGAGGCACTGGCAGAGGCACAGGCACTGACACAGGCAGAGGCACTGGCACAGGTGACTGGGCGACTGGTTACACTGGATACTCAGCATAGTTCGTGGAAGGCTGCCAGCTATCAGCTGCGACCCATAAATCATAAGCCCCAACAATAGCAAATTTTTCTACACTATCAAAGCCTGGCCGAAGGGGGACTTGCGTGTCGGCCACTTGAAATGGCTTTCAGCAGATTCCGCTGAAAACTAACTCGCCGCATTCAGCATTCAGCGTTCAGCATTCGGCGTTCAGCGTTTCTTTCTTTAGCGATTTGCATAAAATACAAATTCTGATTGTTTTCGTACTTGGCCGCAGTCACTTGACAACGCTCAAAAATGCCATTGATATTTCCTTTTGGCATTGTTTTTATGCGCATGCTGTCTTCTCGCATGCTCGAAACGTGAAAACGCGTTGGTCCAGCCAACAGGCAACAGGCAACATGCAACAGCTTCGGCCTCCTGCTATCCAGTCTATGGTGTACAGCCCCAACTCAGAGCCAGAGCTCATTATGCATTCAAGGTCCTTCGCTTAAAGGTTGAGGTTGCGGCCCCTCGAATCTGTCAGCGCTGTGTTGTGTCGACTATTCTATATTAAACCTGACTGACTATATTTTAATACGTTATTTCCCTTCTTGACTCTCTCTCTCTCTTTCTATCTCTGTTGCAGGCAACCATTCCACTGCAATCGTTCAACCTTGATTGCGGACGCAGCGAGGTGGCTGCCAAGCCGAGCATTGCCTATATGCGCACATTGTCGGCGCCGGGCGGGCATGGCGCAACGCCAAGAGCTGTGCCGAGCGTGCAGAGACAGCGCAAGAGTCTGACGGTGTTTGGAGCTAATGGACTGGCAGAGACGTCGACAGCGGCTGCGACTGCGACTGCAACGCCAGCAGCTCATAAGCTGACAAATTTCCAAAGTGCATTGAAAATCGAAGAGCGAACGGCGGCAACAGGTGAGGCCGGCGCTGCGGCGACCACGACCACCATGGACGATTTGAAATCTAGGCGACAGCGTCAATTCAACGGCTTGGACATGGAAACGGCTTCCATGTCGATGCCAAAACGGGTGGGCATTAATCATGCAGCTGCCGCGACGTCGCCAACGTTGACGAGCAGAAATGCTATAACCCCGCCACCAGCAAAGGCAGCAGCAGGAGCAGGAGCCGGTGGGGCCGGGGCAACTGCAACGGCAACAAGTGGAACACAGCTGACCTCGGGGAAAGGCGCCGCCACGCCTGGCTATCTGGTGGATGTGACCAAAAAAGGCTCCACCTCAACACTATGGACATCGGAGGAGTCCATACTGCGCAGCGTTGGCGCCGTCGATGAAGACAACAAGTGAGTAAAGCTAATGGAGTCATTGCAGCCTCATTCAATATTAATATGTCAACTCTTCCAAGCAGCTCCACTTCGTCGTCTTCGGCCTGCGAGGAGGCGACCGGTGTGCTGAGCTCGGGCAAGTCTGGCATATCGCTCGACTCCTCGGGACTGGACAACGACAACAACGAGAGCGGCATTGGCACGGCTACGCCGCCCAAGGACATGTCCTACTGGAAGAGCCACCATCTGCAGCATCATCACTCGCATCACCACCATAGGGCAGGAGGCAGTGCGCCCGACAATGAGTCCGTCAGCAGCCTGGAGGCGCTGCGCAAAATGAAATTCCAGAAGAGCGGCTCGGTGGCCTCGTCCGACGATCCCGATCTGCTCGAGGTGCTCAGCCTGTGCGGCAGTGGCGGCGAGGCAGCCAACGAGTCCCAGGACGACATGCTGGACGAGCAGCCGGCCAAGCAGTCACCCTCACCGACCAAAGCAGCGGCCGCCGAGTACGACGAGTGCCAGGACGAGTTCGAGCTGACGCAGCACTACTGCGACTGCGACTGCACCGACGGCGACGCGAGCAGCGCCAGCGGGGGCACAGCATCGATAGCCACGCCCGTCGTGCTGCGCCGCAAGTACAGTGCAGCGCCGCCCATTATGGTGCCGTTGGCGGGCGTGGCAAGGCGCAACCAGCGCAGCCTCTCCCTGGACCACCACCATCAGCAGCATCAGCTGCTGCTGCAGCCGCGCAAGCTGCTGCCGCGCCACAACCACAAGGAACGCGGCCAGTTGTCATTGGCGCTGCGGCAGGAGCCCTTCCAGTCGCTGCTCTCGCCCACGGCCACGACAGTCACCCATCTGCATCATTTCGTGGAGCTGCCTTCGCCCAGCAGCGCCTCGCTGCACAGCGACACCGTCGGCATCCAAGAACTGACCACCAAATCCAACTCAGCCCCGCTGCTGCTCAAGGAACGTGAGCGGAGTCGTCGCTGCGATGACTTTGCCGCACAGCACTTGGTTAGTATCGAGGGCAGGCCGAAGAGAAAGCAGTTGATATTACGAAGGGGCAGCTTTAAGCACAGAAATATTAAATATTATTTTGAGCCAGAAAGGCATCAGGAATGAAGCTAACTATTTAGTGATAATTACATAAATATATATATATAGAATAGAAATAGACATAGACAGATTTTAAAGCTAACATTCAACATTATATAAATTTGTAAATTGAATATATTTTATTAAATCATGGATTCTCAACAGAGACAAAGAATAGAAATAGACAGAAAACACAAATATTCAATATTTAATAGTAATGCCAGAAATTAACCGAACTATATAATAGGGACTCAATAATTAGGGATTATCAAAATTTGAATAGAATATGAAATCTGAATAACATAATTATTTCATATTTTTTTTTTTTCTTTTATTACTATATTATTTGGATTAAATAGGATATATGTATGTCCGTTGTTATTGCTAGCTGAATAGTTTCTAAGAAAAGCTCGCCTTATACTTGACATGAAATTTGCATATATCTCCAATTGTGCTTAGTTTTATATTATTATTAGTTTAATACACATACAGTAGGATCCGGTTATAACGACTCTGCTTATAGCGTCCGTACAGTAAAATCAAATCTTATACGGTTGTAACGACGATTCCTTGAGTATCGTTATAACTGTATTCTACTGTAATAATATTTAAAAATTATATACATTATATAAGCGAGCTATTTGCTAAGCAGCCTTCCTGCTAAGTTCGTATGTCTGACAAGGAATATTTGATTAGCTACTAGTTTTAAATTATTATTAGTTTTCTAGTATAATTTAATGTAATTTATATAGATTTTGAGATATTTGCCGAGCAGCCCTCGCGCAAACTTGATCAACAGACATTAAAATATTCTTCTTTTCGTTCTTCTCTTCATCTACCCCACAGACGCTGCGCTATTCTCGTTCGCAGAGTGATCGCTATTTAGCAGGTGAGTTTCTGGCAACGAGTTTGTTGTTTTTTTTTTTTTTTTTTTTTTTTTTTTTTTTTTTGCTTAGCTCTAAACGTATCTGTGCACTAAATGAGTTATTTAAATGGCCTGGCGGAGGCTGCGGCTGCGACTGCGGCCTCTGCCTCAGCCAAGATCAAGATCGAGGACGAGGCCGGCCATCAAGTTGGGGGCTTGTTGATTTGATGTGCTGGTGGTCCTGCCAGCCAATTAGCGGCCGGCTATTAAGCGTGAGTGGTTTATAATAACAGTGAAGAGTAGATTTCATAATTTCTATAATTATAAGCAAACATTTCTCATATATATATATATATATCTATGAGTCTCGCAAATGAATAAGACTGCGCCCTAGGCATCAGACGTAACTTTCGATTTCATTCAGCTGGCATAATTTGATTTTCGCAGCAAACAATTGAAGGCAATCAATGACAGCAAGCGATTGCGACAGCTTAAAGGACGGGGGCAGCTGTCATTTAAATTACTTTCATGTTCTTTGGCCAGCAGCAGCAGCAGCAGCAGCAGCAACAGCAACAGCCGCAGCAACAACATCAGCAACAAGAGGGCGGCCAGCCGCAGCTCTTTTGCCAATTTCCAACACTTCCGTCAACACTTCAATACGAATGGCGAGCCAAAAATGACTGTCAATCTGTCAATGTGCATGCGGCTGTTGGCCAACACACAAATAGTACACACACACGCACACACACATTCGATTTCATCTGCATTGTGCCTCTCCAGTGAATGGTGTAGTGGGTGGGTGGTTTGAGTGGCTCCTTTCATGCCAAAACTGGCATATAAATGAACTAAAATTGAATCAGCAGCCAAGTGCTCACAGCGAGCAGAGCTGAGCGGCTTTGGCTGAGCCAATGCTATCGGAGCAGGAGCAGCAACAGCAGCAGCATCAGCATCAGCAAGCGGACAGGAGATGACGTCATTTGGGAGGCGCCATCTGAGCACGATGCACGGTGCTTTGCTCCACTATTTGGTCGCGTTTTTGTTTGCTCTCCATGTGACGTCATTGGAGTGACGTCGGCACTGGCCACACGCAAAGGTCAAGCGGACAGAGCTGGTGCTGTACGATGCCAATGCCGTGGCCTTTAGCATCGCTTGTATTTATATTGCTAATATCGTCTTATGGCCATTTGGCCATGCGACACTCGTTCCATCCACAATGGACGGAGAGCTGACTCTGGGAACTGCGAATCGAGAGTGAGATTGAGGCTGGGCCGGTGGCATTTGTTGTGCTGGTCATTTCATAACGGAAGCTGACGCTTTTCATGCTGCCTTCATTGTTGTTTGTTCTGTGGAAAAGATTAACACGCAGTAGTCCATGATTAATATCAGATATTGCACAAATAAAAATTGCCAGCATTTATTTCATTTTATTTATCTTGCTCATCGCCGGCGAGCAAATACCCAGAGATACACATAGATTCCCCCAACTTGTCTATATGCACGCCTATGGGAGCGTGTGTCAATGTCGTGTTTGTGTTCACGCGCCGCGGCACGCCCCGAATGCAATGCAATTAATTGTAGAGCTCATTTCTGTGATTTACCAAGATCACGACAGTTCCATTTGTTGCTGAAATCATTTGCACAGTTCAAGCAGTGAATGCAAATTGTAAATTGCATTTAACTTTACATAAATGTTGTAATGCTTCAATGCGCAGAACTCATAAAAGTGACTAAAGTTCAGCCTTCAACAACTAACACACCCCCGCCCCCCTTTGGCCATCAGCCAGTGAGCAACAGGTGCGGTTGGCGGTTGGCCATCGACTCGAAACTTTCACAGCCCATCTCACAATTCATGTGGCCATAAGAAGCAACTGCTCAAAACAAAAGCTGTCAGAGTCTATAGAAACAGAATTGGCTTTGTACGTATGTGAGTGTGTGTGTGTGTGTGAATGTGTGTGTGGGGGGTGTGGTTGGGTGTGTGAGTCCTTTCAATAAACATTGAAATGAAATAAGCATCATCAACAACGCACAACATGACAACAGTTATTCATTTATATATATTTATTTGTTTTGCCTGCCGGAGCCAAGGGCCGCAAAGCATGTTTTTCGAGAAATATAACCACAGAGAAAAATAATAACAATAAATGATTATGGCACTGATAGATCTGCATGGGCAAGGGAATCACAGTCAGCTCCAGCAGAAGGCACAAGAACAGCAGCAGCAACATTGCTCATACGTCCCGTTGCTCACTTGCTTAGCATGTTATGTGTTCGCCTCGACTCGGCTCGTGTCTGTTGTTCGGCTGGCATCGCATCGGGCACGGACACTGCTCGGCTCGGCCATTTTGCTTGGTTGGCGGGCAAAATGATTAGTGCTCTTACAGGCGCCGTGCACGGTAGACGCATTCGTGACCGCATCGAGTCTGGGGCAGGCAACGGGAACGCGTCGACGCCAGCGACTCAAAAGCTGTGTAACGGGCGAAAGCTATAACGGTCACTGCCGATAATACAAAAAAAATAAAATAAAATAAAAATAATAATCATCAAGAAAAGAGAGAAACAAATTGTGTGTAGTGCAGTGTACACAGTACTTGCAAATACCAGAATGTGACTGATTCAAAAACGTTTATTCGAGTGCATTTAAAGCTAGAGAGAGAAAGAGTGGGAGGGAGAGAGACAGACGTAGCATTGGCTAACCGTTCAATTGCCGCCAATTTTTTCGTGTAGCCAATCAAGGAAAAGGTGACTCTAGCAAAACGGCGCTGCCAACTCTAGTCAAAATGCAGCGCCGCATGTCCGTATCGATACGGGAGTACAAGTTCTTCAGGAGCTTCTCCCAAAAGTTCGAGAATTGGCCCAAGCGCAAGGCCGAGGCGCTGTGGCGCAAAATGCGAGAGCGCAAAATCGCAGGTGAGCACCACTCGGATGATCGAACGTGGCCCAAGGGCAGAAATTATTAAATTGGAATTCGTATCGATTCTACTACATGAGCGAACAATAAGCACTGGGGCTATGTATGGGCGCGTGCCGCTGGCTGTTTATTGTTTTTCCACACCCAATTAAGAGGCTACCCCGCCAACTATTTTAGGAGCCAAGTGTGGCTATTTTCAGCTGGACCAGCAGCAGCAGCAGCAACAACAGCAGCAACACCAACAGCAGCCTGTATATATCAATCGGCGCCGCAACGCGCACATTTAATCGAATTATTCATTGCATTATTAAGCTATGCCTGTGTCTATATGGAAATGAAATGGGAAAATGGAAAATGGAAAGCGGAAAACGTAAAACGGAATAGGGCTGCAACAAGTTGCCAAGCTGCCAGGCCATGCACAATAGTCAATGGTCAGTCTGTCATTTGCATTTGCTCCACAGCTGGCCACATCTGTCAGCCAGTCAGCCAGTCCACCAGTTAGCCAGTTAGTCCGTCCATCCGTCAGTCAGTAAGTCAGTTTGGCAGGGTCTGTCGCTGTGCTATGGACGCACAGCCCCACTCAAAACCCCATCATCATTTGCGCTACGATTTCGCTTTTTTACACCCAAGTGAAATTGCGTGCCAGTCAAGCGAGGCGATTCATTCAAATAAAGAAAACTGTTTGCATGTAGTAATAAATGAGAAAAATTATTATACAATTAATATGTACATACTATACGAGCACATATACATCTTTATATATTAATATACACCAGCATGTGTGTGTGTGAGCGGCAGAAAAATAAATAAAATTAAATAAGTAATGAGCACCTGCCTCCATGGTTCATGCCCCCAAAAAAACGTATTTCGTGCCGTTGTATAAACATACAGCTGGAAAAAAAGAGAATCGAATATAATTTGCTGCGAACGTTGCATGAATCGCTTGATTTGTGTCGAGCTGAATTGATTGGACTGTCCACCACATATTATTTAATCAAATCATAAAAAATTGCAACAATGCAAAAGTCCCCTGAGCATCAAACATGTATGAGCATGTATGGGAGCAGTAGCAGGAACTCTTCTTATATATTGTTTTGCCTTACAAATATATTAATATGTATAATTATTATAAAGAGTATGAATACATATTCAGATCTACAATATTCACAAGTCTATCGGAAGTAAATTATAATATGATATGAAGGAAGTCTTTTGATATGCTTTTTTACTTATAATCCGAATATTTTGTGCCTTGTGTCTACGATTCACTCTCACTTCAGAATAAAATTGCTTTATCGCACATTTTAATTGAATTTAAAAAATAATTAATTATAGCTTATATAATTATTTTCAGTTCAATTCCAGCCCAAGTCTTCCTGCATAACGGGGCTAATAAAAATCCGTTTAAAAATTATGGCTAACCCGCGGCAATTCATGTTTTTTTGATTGTCATGTGCAGAATTATGTAAATGAGCTCCTTTTCGGTAGCCGCAGTTGCTTTGCCCAATCTGCAGTCCCTTTCTCTCTTCCTCTCTTTCTGCCTCCCTTTCCCTCTCTCGTTGAGGCTAATGTCTAACTTGCATGGCTTTTCCTTAGCCCATTACGTATTTTAACAATGAAACGCATAAATTTTCCGCCGACTGCCCCTGCTGTACTCTTCCTCCCACGCCTCTTCAGCCAATTGGCCTGATTGGGTGTTTTGTTTTTGTTTATTTTTATTTTGTATTTTATTTTTGGTTTCTTTTCAAATGTAATTATTTTTATATGCGAATATTTATTTTTTATTCTGCTCGGCCGATGTATTTTCTGCTCGTGTGTGTGTGTGTGTGCGTGCTCATTTTTGGTAGCAAAACAACGGCAAGTTGGCTGAATTATGTTAATTTTATGCGGGCGAGCTGGGATGACGATGTTGGGCAGAGGGAGGCCGAGGCGACAGGGGCGGACGACCGCCCGGGCGCGCCCGTTCGACCGCTCAGCAGGAAGTATGCGGCGTATAATACGCTGACATTAAAAACGAATTAAAAGCTCAATGATCTGTTATTTCTGTAGCAAGCTATCAAAGCAGGTGGAAGCTGGCAGGGCGCTGGATTGAGTTAGCCAACTCTAGTTGAATACAGTGTCTAAAGATTGTTGGCAGTAGCTGTGGATAAGCCGCTTTGATGCGTGCTTCAAGCTAATTTCCAGTCAAGCATTTCGCCCAACAAGCGCCGCGTGGCTCATCGTCATCGTCAAGTTAACGGCAAATCGAACTGACAGCTTGCCACTTGTTGCAGCCTGTTCTGGGACCTGGGTGCCTAAGCGCACGGTCTGCAGCCATCGGAACGAGCCGGTGGCTCAACCCTGTGCGCCCAGCTATAAATAGCTTGATTCTTAGCTAGCCAGCCGAAGGAGCCTTTTGTGTGGCCAATGAAGAGGAAACGCTCGCCAATAGTCCTCTGCTCCATAGTCTACTCTCTATATATGTATATTTAGAAGGCTAAATGCTATTCTCGGATGCTCTCGAAGCCTTTATGGAACTCGAGTGTTTTTCGAGGAAGCGTTCAGCTCTTCTCTGATTTTATTTCTGGTCTTTTGTTTTATTATTTGTCATGAATTCCACAATTAATTAAAAATTGCAAAGCTTTTCGCTTTAGTGGCTAATCCGAGCGCAAGGCAAAGCAACAACATTGTGCTGCATGCGTCACTTGCTGTCACTTTTGAATAAAATTTATGTTGCAAATGGCATTTGAGTGTTTGGCTAACATCTTAGACAATGACTTATTAGATGTCTCTGTGCATATGTGTGTCGTGTTTTGCCAATGCAAGGCAATTAATTAATAGCAAACACCTACATCAAAGCGAATGCAACCGATAATTGAACATTTTGCGATTCGAGGAAGTCTGTTTGCCATAATATCTAATGGATTCGCTTGCACTTGTACAGAAAACTCACTGACTGATTTCAGCATAATCGCATAAATTGCTGACTGCCGCCTGCCGCTCCTGGGGCAATTCAATTAGGTTTAAACGCGCCACTCGGCGAGCATTTAGCGGAAAATATTTGCTGAATAATGTTCGCATTGCCGGGAATAATAATATGCTGCGAGCTGCCGCTGGCGACGTTTATCTAAATTCAATTACAATTAGTGTTCAAATTAATTTACCAATAAATAGCCATTTATATGAAAGGTCAGGCCAGCATAGCGCAAAAGCTTTTAGCTCAGCTGAAAGTAAATTTAATAGGGTTAGCCAAACTTTTTTTTTTTTTTTTTTTTTTGAACTTTTGCACAGAAGTGGCAATAAATGAGTAAAGGGCGAGCTGTGCAGCCAGGCAGCTTGTTACACATACGCCGCATGCTGCGTGCCTCGTGCCGCCTGCCTCGTGCAACAGCCAACGGTGTGTGGCAGAAAGCCAGCCAGGCCCATTTCAATCGCAGCTCGGTTCAACCACTGAAAAATGCCAAAGCGGAGCAAGTTTTTGCCCGAGCTGGGAACACTTTATGTAAGTTCCTGGCCATAATCGGAAGTGTGTGTCATTTGCATGCGATGAATATGTGTGCATGTGTATGCGTGCTGGTATTTCGTATTGTTGGCTCACTTCACTCTTTCTGGAGCACGCGTAAAGACAAAGCATGTCAGCAACACACGCACACACACACACATACACACACACACAAAGAGCCGACGCACACTCTACAGGAGGCCTTCAGTCTTCAGCCTTCAGCCAGCAACAAGCTATGCATCAGCATATCCTTGACGCAGAAATTGTGTTAAGGATTCACTCATTGCGTTCACATTCATTACAAACTTGCTTTGAAATGCGATTAAGAAGCTTAAATGAATTATAAATTCTATTGTTAGTTAACATGAATTCAAGACATGAAGAAATGCATAATTTTAATCTGCAAATATAGCCAGAAAATATGTAAATAATACGTGAATGCTTGCTTGGCAAATGGGACTCGTTATACAACATTAAGTAGAACCTACCTTAAGGCTTTCTTCTATATTGATAATGGCTTTAAATTCAATTTTAAGTGCGAGCCAATGTCTAGTAAAATAGACGTCTTTTATATTTGATCGTTATCGATTTATCTTAGGGGTCATTTCAAGTTAATTGCGTTTTTAATTAGACAATCATGAGCGGCTTTGTTTTTCGACGTATGTAATCGCCGGGCACTTAAATCATCATCCTTCTATGCCGCCTCAAGCTGTCATCCTTAGACTCACAAACCCACACACACACACACAGGCACACACACACACACACACACACACACAGATAAAGAGGATAACAATTATCCAGGGTAAGCCCAAGTTCCATGAATTTGCGCGTGGCTGGCTTTAAAATGTTTTAACATGACCGACTGAACGACGAAAATGAGTCGAACGAGCCGAATGTTAAGGACAACAAAGGACCCGTATACTCTGTAGTCGACTCCGCCCCAGCCAGCTGGTGGGCGGGCGACATTGTGCGGCCAGTGGGCGAACAGGAACAGCAACAAATATTGACTCGGGCGCAATAAACTGTGCGGCGCACGCCTCTCCGACAAGCGCCAGTCCACAACAATAATGTGCACACTTTAAATGGCTTTTAGATGAGTGCGTAGCTCAGCCGCGACAACGCGGCGTATGCGCAATTTTAATAATGCTCAAGTGGCATTCGCATTGTTGTTGAGGTCTGACATGCCGTTGAAGTTGTTTTTGCCGTTGTTGTTGCTCTTCACTGAAGAGTTGTTGTTGTTGTTGTTGTTGTTGTTGTTGTTGTTGTTGTTGTTGCTGTCAGGTGCTGTTTTTATTTTCGCATACGCACGGATAATTAATAAGCTGTCTCTGGACTATTTTTGGCTGAGCCTGGCGACGTCCTGCACCACTCTATTCGATGTGCCCACACACACACACACACACACAAACAAACAATGGCTGTTTACCTTTGGAGCAAGTCGGCTTGGCTAGCAATACGACTGTCAGAGCTTAAGCGCAACTCAGGCTAACCTAAATGAATTTCGAATGCATGGCTATTTTTAAACAAAATCATAAGCCCAGAGACACTTTGACACAGGAAGCAAGCAGGTGACAGGCAGCCTGCCATCCTGCTCGGCTTGTCGGTTGCTCGTTGGCCTGGCTGACTGGCAGTTGGCCACCTTTCGACAACCCCTTTCGGCGAGCGTGCAAGTTAATCGCTTGCAAAATTCAATAATAATTCTTCCCCATGCAGCATCCCGTTGCCCTGGCCGTAAGCTGGCGGAAAGTGTTTCATGTTGTCGCTTGTTCCACAAAGTTGATTAAAAATCAATAATATCCTTGCAATCCGCTCTACGGCAACCCGCTCCCCGCTCTCACCATTCAGCTGCCTTCTCGTGGTGTCCCAAAGTAGGTTCGTTTCGAGAGCCAGCGAGCAATGCGAAACACCAAACAGATTAGCATTTAAAATAGCAGCCCTTGTGGCAGCTTATAGACACAGATATACATAGCTGGCTGCCTTTTTTGGCTTAACTCAATTGGCTGCGAGTACCAGCAGCTGAGCCGTGCCAACGCTGAGCTCCTTAGAGCGGCAAACGGGCTGAAATGCGATTCATGTATTCATTGGTTGCTTACAAAAGAAATCGTTGCCTATTTCTGAGCTGTGGTCGGAGCAAACACTGATTTAGCTCTGACTTAAGCATATTATGACGCAGATAAATATTTTGCCAAGATGTACTGTGCCTACGGCAAGGTATCTGTTATTTCTCGGCTACCTCAAATACTCGAAGAATTCTGCATAACTTTTACTTTCATATCAAGTCGACGGCATTCCACTAAGCAATGCCAAGGGGGGGAGAAGCGAAACACAATTTAAAGCGCCGTCAGTCAGCGGCAAGGTTTTGCAGCCGCATTATTTTCGACGTCGACATGATTTGGACAGCTTACAGCATAATCCATCAAGTGGTCACACACACACACACACACACCACGCACCACTCGCAATGCGTGGCTCACTTAAGTAAAAGCGCATTTCGCGCCTTAATTGGTTTCGGGCGAAACGCATTTAGGTTTGTCAGCCGCAAGAATTCGCACAGCAATTTAATTACAATTAGCATTATTTGTAGGCCACGCGGCGTATGCATAATAGTTGTAACCCTTCTCGCACTCACTCACTCACTCACTCACTCTCTCTGTCTCTCTTTTACTCTTTGCAGAAATTGAAGCCGTGGAAGCATGTAAATGGCTGCGGGCAGCAGGTTTTCCGCAATATGCCCAGATGTACGAAGGTAAGTTCGAAGGCACGCACTTCCGCCTGCTCCTCAAGACGGTGCCTTGTCATGTTGAACATGCCTGCCCCTTGGGCGTGGCCACGTGGGCTGTACCCAGTGCTCTGCGCCCTGGCAGCGGAGTAATTGATGGTTTCGCTTGACGCCAACAATGACGTTGTCGACGACGTCATCAGCAGTGACTCGAATAGTTGCTGCGCCATTTAGCTGCGTTTCTTTGGTTTTTATTTTGAGTATTTTACGCTTCCCAAGTGGCGTTTATTAATTTCATGAAGCGGACTTTCACTTTCGCCCGCCACTAAAAATAATAAATAGCCATCAAATAGACCCAGTTCGAGCAGCTCTGCTCTTTTATGACGTGACAACTTTTTTGTTGCGCCACAGCGGGCGCACAGCAGAACACGCAGCTTTAGTGCTGGATCACGCGCCGCGCTCATTGTTCGCCGCTGGCCAGTGAACTGCACAGTATGTTAGAGAAGCTGCCAACACCAGGGCATTGGCATGCGGTGCCATGATACGATAGCCAGCCGCCAAGTGAATCCGATCCGGCCAGCACGACGCGGCGCGACAACAATTAGGAGCGATCGCCGCTCGAGCGAAAACGAAAGCTAAAAACGCCCCAACTTTGAGCGATCGTGCTACGAAAGAATTTAACACACAAAGAAAAAAAAAAGAATACAACAAAAAGTAAACCCAAAAAGTAATATAAAACACGGCACAGGTAACTGGCGCAGCCAGCAAAAACTCATCAAGCACCGAAGCGCAGATAAAATATAATAAAAGGCTAAAGGACACGTTGCGCAAGAATTTTTAAAGACCACCTTTGTATGCGAAGACAAAAAAAAAAAAAAAATGCGAGTCAGAAGAGATTTCAAGACCGAAATTAAAATGGTTTGGGCTCTTTTTTTATTTTTTAGGCAGAGGGCAGAGCCCTTGCGCAGCCACTAGCCAAAATGTTAGTACGGGTTCATTGAACCCAAGCCCAAGCTGCATATTTATTTGGGTCTCTTAATCGTACTCGGCCGCCGTCCTCCTCGGCCTGCTACGCATTTGTCGCCGAGCTTCTTGCGCGCCGTCGCTTTGCATTTAACGCCTGAAGGCCGCGCAGATTGATGACGCCGTCAAATCTCCAAATTCAAATAAATAAAGCGCCGCGAATCACAAGAATAAAATACAGCGCGTTTCTTTAGAGCTGGCCGAAAAGTTCGGCGACTTCAGTTGAATTATGAGCCAAGCCAAGCCAAGCAAAAAGCAGCAAAAATACGAAACAACAACAAAAAAGTGAATCTGAAATGGAGAACACACTCTTTTGGGCATATCTCCAGGCGCTTCGATGGCCCAGCACGATCTGCTTTACTACACACGATAATCTTATATATGATAACATACATACATACATATGTACATATATATGTATATGCATATTTTCATGTATCTGTGGCTGTCGCCGACCTTGAAATATGCCCATTTGGTTGCATAAATTCGCCAGGGCCAAAGCCAGAGTCAGAGCCCGCAGCGCAGCCCGGCCAAATAATTTGTGCGCGCATTTAAATTGCACCACAGTGGTGCGCGGCCCAGCCCAGCCCAGCGCATAACAGAACGGCCCAGCCACACACACAAATGATAAATGCGTATTTTAATGAGTTTTGTGTAAACAAGGCAGCGGCGCATGCGCGAAGATCGCCTCAAATATCTTCAAAAGCTCGCCAGGATTCGGGATTCGGGTATCTTGGGGGGCGCTGCGACCAGACAGACTTACTACAGATTGCAATGCCGTAGGTGTTGTGACGCGGTTCCAGTCTTTACGGCTCTGTCATTTGCTGAAAGGAGGTGTAGCAGTTGTAAGCGACTGTTAATTTGCTTAAGGTGGACGAAAACAGAGAACCCCGAAAGAAATGGGACCGAACGCACGAAGACTCTTCACGTAATTCCTGTTTGTTTTGTGCTCGCTTCGAGCTCTCATTCCACACGCACATTATTCACTGAAAAGTGGCAGACGTAATTCGAGGGTGCGACCTGGGCCAGGGCAGGTCCATGTCCACATCTCCACATATGGGTGTGCTTAAGAGCGACTGATGTTCGATTAAGGCTCGAACGAGCAATGATTTTAAGCCCACAACAACTGACTTCCTGAAGAGGGGCAACAGATTATTATAATTTACGACTGAGACTGCACAAATTCCATATCCATTCTTATTAATTTCAAAATATCCCCCAATTTGCCATAGATACAAATTTATGAACGAGCAAATGAAAAGAGCTGGATATTTCTGCAGGCTGCGTCATCCTCAGCTGCTGCTGCTGCTGCTGCTGCTGCTGTCTAACACAAACAAACGAGATTCGCTTTTCCATAGTGGCACAGTGGAAAAGAATTAATCATATAATTGGCCCAATAAACTGAATACTGGGACGGAACGGTACCGGGCGGGCGCGTTGCCCTGTAAACTGCTGTAACCTGTCGAAAAACTCAAATTAGTTTCACAAGAATTTCTCTATGACGTCAACGGTGCGCACGGTGCCTGTTGCTATTGATAATGAGATGATGCTGCTGTTCCTGCACGGCTGTTCAGCTCTGTGGTGTGTGTGTGTGTGTGTGTCTGTGGCGTGGCACCGCCCGCTGGGTGATGCCACCACATATTATTGAACTAAGTGGCACACTCTCCAAATTGGGTCTCCCATGTGCTGGCAGGCGCGCAATTCTGTTTATTTCATTAGCATCAAAGTGCACACGATTAGAAATTAAACACAGCATTTAGTAAAACATTTCAATTAAATTATAAATAACCCTAAAGCACATGCAGACGCAAATGCAGCTAAAGCGTCGGCCTGAGTAAACAAATCTACGAAAAGCTTTCAGGGATAGGGAATAAATATAGGTGGAGGTAGAGGCGGAGGTAGGGGTAAAGGCAGAGGCAAAGGCAGAGCTAGAAGCAGAGGTAGTAGAAGTACAGCCAGAGGCAGAGTCAGAGGTAGAGTTGGTGGTAGAGGCAGAGGTAGAGGCGTTCGGGGAAACGGGCTCGTCAAAAGTTCAACAAACCGAGAATGGCTTTTCCAAGAGAGAGGCACGATTATTGTATTGTAATGCTAACAATATTTATACAAACAAAAGCGGCAAGTGAGCCAAGTCGCGCCAGCTTTTCCAGGCGTACATCCTACGGAACTGCAACAGTTCGTATCTCACGGCATCAATGCCTGCCAGCCAGCCAGCCAAGCAGTCAACCAGGCAGCTAGTTGGCTAGCCTGGCCTGCCTGCCTGTAGCTGTAAATGTATCTGCATTTGTATCTGTAACAGTGCGAGGCGACATGTGTAAACGTCTGGCGTATCTGTTTTATGTGGTCGGACGCTGGCTCGTCGTCGTCGTCGTCGTCGTCGTCGCCGTCTGGGAACTTGATTTCCTACGTGCAAATTGGCCACGCAAATATGTGGAAAAACTCTGTGAAAATTTTGCACTGCGACACCGTGGCAATGTCTTCTACGCAATGGCTCTGGCAGACATCTGTGTGTGTGTGTGTGTGTATGTGTGTGTGGAGCATTTAATAGGCGCCTAGCCGTTGCGACTGTAGGCGCTACTGGCGATTCGATCTTTCTGGTTTTCAATTAGAATTTCATGCGCCTTCGTTGTGTGCAGACGCAGCAGCCGCATCATAGCTCTGGCCAACAAGCAAATACAAACCAAAACTTTTCCATATTTGCAGATCATCAGTTCCCGATCGAGCTGAACAATGTAGCCAAAGATCACACAAATCTTGAGAACGATCAGCTGCAGTCGCTCTACAGGCGTCTCTGTGTCTTAAATCGTTGCGCCAATATGCGACTGGACCAGACGCACAAGCCCCAAACGCCACAGGTGAGTCGCACGAGCTGCATCCCAATCGGGATTAGCCTAACCTCTGGATGCATTCGCAGCAAAAGGAAGAATCCGATGATGAGAACTTTGCTCTGAGCGAGAACTGGACATTCCAACCACACATTCGACGCTGGTCGCGCATAGGTGAGATGGGTCTGGAGCTGCCGCCGCCGGGGCTGCTGGACCTGGAGAAAACGGAGAGCTCATCGAAGGAGTCGAGTCCCGATCGCTTCGAGGACGACAGCTACGACCTGGGCGGCGCTGGCATCACGCTCGTGATTCCAGGCTGCAGCAAGGGTGACGCCAACGATGGCTCGCTGCATGACAGCTCAGATGGGACCACGCGGCTGCGCCGCACGGGCAGTGAGCGCTTCAAGGACGGGGCCAAAGCCTTCCTGCGGCGAGTGGAGTCGATAAAGTCGCGACGTCGCAAGCGCCAGAATCGCGAGAATGTGGTAATCAGTGGGCCACAAGTGCTGGATCTGGCACAGTTGGGCCAGCGCAGCAGTTTGCGCAAGCCCGACGCCGTCTACTCCACGCCCCCCTCGCCATCCGCACTAAGTCCCATGCACACATTCCCGAAGGTGCCGTTCTTCGGCAACGAGCTGAAGGTGCCCAGCCACAGCGACAACTTCTTGAGTCCGAATCGATCCAGCCCCAAGCGAACTCCAACCACGCCGCGCTCGATGCGCACAAGTCCGCTGCACTTCTTCTCCAGCCCCATGACACAGCTGAAGGAGGGTAAGTCGGACGACTCCTCCTCCTACTACAGCGACAGCCAGGAGTCCTCGACTGGCGGCAAGCTGTCGCTTTCGCTGCGGAAGCCCTCGAAGGCACGCCGGTTCTTGCAGCGATCCGGCAAGGTGGATGACATTGGTGCGCACTCGGACTCGGAGTGCCATCAGGGCCGGAAGCTGCTCATCAAGGATGCCAATTCAAACACCACCGAGGTGAAGATCAAGAAGCTGACGCGTGGCGGCTCACTCAACCTGGGCAAAGATGCCAAGAAGCGAGATGGCTTCCGCTCATCCTCATTCCGCTCGCGCAGCACGTCCCGCAAGGAGCCAAAGAACGAGGAGGAACACACTGGCAGCTCAAAGCGGCAGCCAGTGGTGCGTTGGCACAGCTTCCAAATGGAAGAGCGCCCAAACATGATCTTCCGCAAATGCTTCTCACAGAAGATCGAGCCTCATGCCCTGCAGGAGGATGCGGGCATTCCCTTTGCTGCCATGTCAGCTGGCCAGCTGCAAATCATTCGCAAATTGGCGCTGGTCACTCTGACGGGCTACATGGAACGCTATTGCCCCTCCCATCGCTCCGGCTGGAACTGGGAGCTGCCCAAGTTCATCAAGAAGATCAAAATGCCCGACTACAAGGACAAGAAGGTGTTTGGTGTCCCACTGCTGTTAATACTGCAGCGCAGCGGCCAGGCCTTGCCCATGGCTGTGCGCGCCGCTTTCCGCTGGCTGCAGCTAAATGCCCTCGACCAGGTGGGACTGTTCCGCAAGAGCGGCGGCAAGTCGCGAATCATGAAGCTGCGCGAGCAGATCGAGCTCACCGATTCCACGGCGGAGTGCATGGATGTGTTCGACCTGCAGCAGGCCTACGATGTGGCCGACATGCTGAAGCAATATTTCCGCGAGCTGCCCGAGTCGCTGCTGACCACCAAAATGTCCGAGACCTTTGTGGCCATCTTTCAACGTAAGTGAAAATCAACGGATTTTTATATGTGATCATTTACTGATCTCAATTCTCAACAGATTTGCCCGCTGAAGTGCGTCTGGATGCGGTGCAATGCGCCGTGCTGCTGCTGCCGGACGAGAACCGTGAAATACTTTACGTGCTGCTCGAGTTCCTCACCATTGTGGCTGCCAACTCGGCGCAGAATCAGATGACCAGCAACAACCTTGGAGTGTGCCTGGCTCAGTCCATTTTCCACTCGTCCATTTCCACGGGCTCCGCATCGGTGTCGGCGTCGCCGCGGCGCAAGGGCAAGGGCTCCGGAATGCCGGACATGAAGGAGCTGGCCGAGGCGAAGGCCTCCCACGAGTGCCTGTCCTTTATGATTGAGCACTACAAGCCAATCTATACTGCCGCCAAGGAGAAGCTGGCCAAATGCAACTTTGGCTACATGGAGGAGTCGAAGCCGGTGCCGCTGGAGGCCCTGGGCGAGGGCATGCAGTTCCACAACTGGCGCGGCTATCTGTACGAGTGCACCAGCGCCACCATTAAAGAGGGGCGTGAAAAGTAAGTCTGAATTGCTGTCACCCCAAGCCAATTAATCTCACTGTCTCCCAACCCAACCAGAACACGTAGCTGGATCACAATAAATTCGCTCAACGACAGCAACGTGGACATTGCGTACAAGAAGGTGGGCGACGGGCATCCGCTGCGTCTGTGGCGCTGCTCGACAGAGATTGAGGGACCGCCGCGTGAGGTGCTGGAGTACATAATCAAACAGCGCGCCTCCTGGGATCCGAATCTCTTGCAATGCCAAACGGTCAAGAAACTGGACGATCGCACCGAAATCTATCAATACGCTCTGGATGGCCAGTTGACCACTGATTTCTGTGTGCTGCGGTAAGTTTCGGCGAGGACTTAAGCTCGACTTTGTAGATGACTTGCTTAAATCGCCTTTACTTTACTTCCCTCAGTTCCTGGCAAACGGATTTGCCGCGCGGCGCCTGTGTTATTGTGGAGACCTCGATCGACCATGCCAAGGCCAAGCCTCTGTTCTGTGCTGTGCGTGGAGTCGTCCTGGCCTCGCGCTACCTTATCGAACCTTGCGGCAGCGGACGTTCCCGAGTCATGCATTTGGCGCGCGTGGATGTCAAGTAAGTGCAAGTTCCCTCTCTCTCATTGTAAATATATTTAGAATGAACTTAACTCTGAATCATTGCCGACTTTCAGGGGCAAAACTCCGGAGTGGTATAACAAGAACTATGGACATATCTGTTCGCACTACTTGTCTCGCATACGTCTAGCCTTTAAGCACGTAGCAGATGGACCCGAGAGCAAGGTCTAATGAGCCCAATGCCGCGTGCAACTTGTTATATCAAAATACACCCAAAAACCCCTCAAGAATTTCGGTAATCCCAACGAGCAGACATATTTTACGACCTAGACCACACGAGCTTAAGATTGCTACTCAAAGCAAAGGAAGTAAAGGAATACATAAAATACGAGTAACCATATATATTTTACTACAATATATATTTTGTAAATACTTAACTAGATATGATAATTCCAAAACTATATTACAAAAACTTCAATACGTTTTTTGTTTAGCTATAATTTACTGTATTATATTTATATGTGGTCTTAACTTATGCTTACTTTACTTTACTTTACTTTACTCTACTTTACTTTATATTTACTTGTACTTTACGAAACGAAATCTAACATCCAAAATACTCAACACATAAATATCACAAATGTACTTTTACGATTTCTGAAAACAAAAAGCTTCAAATTATGTTTATGGCACCAAAATATCTTTAATGTTAATTAGTTTGTAGTCTTCGCAATATGTAAACCGTTAAATATGGATAAAACCCCTCTAGGAATCAGAAAGCGCAACCTTTTAATGTGTAAAGCAAATTCAGCTAGTCAAATTCTCTAATTTTAAGTTAAATTACTAACCCAATACACTCAACAAAATCGTCTACCAAGTTGTTGAAAAATTGCATTGCTTTGGTTTCAGACAGGAGATGAAATTCGTTTGAATTGGTTACATTATAATATTTCACAACACCTCGATATGTGTGTGTGTGGCAATGATAAATTTCTATATGATGTAGTATCGGAGTTATTGCTAAATTTAAGCTCTTCATATATTATATTGATGTATGTACATGTATGAAACTTATGATCCTTGATCAATATATATTGTAAATGCCCATTTTGGCGACATAGTTTTATTGATGTATATCTATATATATATCTATCTATATGCTACGATAATGTAAATGAGTATGATGGATACAAGTTATCAACCACTACAGGTAGCAGCGACAAATAAAACCTAACCAACCAATGTCAAGGAATGGTGTGTAGAAAGCGAAGCATATAAATAAGTATTATGTATACATAATCAAATAAAATTACATCCGCGAAATAAAATAAACATACTATGAAATGTGAGAGATATGGAATTTTAATTCTTTGGGAATTATTTGGGTAACTATATATTTTACTAATTTTATTTTATAGCTCCGTTCATATTTTTCAGCATAGCTTGCGCCATCTATCGTGTAGTAGTACTGTCAGTAAATGCGGCAAGCAGTGGAATAGAGGTGAATCATCGCAACGTGAGCACGCAAATTGTCTGTCAGCAAGCAGTTAGACAAGCAAGCAGTGCAAGAGGCTCACAAGCTCCTGCAGTATGCCTACAGTGCTCTAAGAATTACATTGAGCATTTAATTTTCTTGAACTCAAAAAAATAGTAAATAAATAAATAATAATAATAATAAATAAATAATAAATAAACAGAAAAAAATGTATACATAAATAAATGTAATCTAAATACATAAAAACATGATCTTAAAAGCTAATAGCAGTCTTAGCCAAAATTCAATACCAATCTGTTACGTATCTGACATCCAATTAGTTAATTAGTCACATCCAGTTAGTTAAATAATTAACTTTTTATTTGACTTGAATTTCTGACAATATTCCCTCTAGTTCTGGCCATATATCGCCAAGTCAATGACACTAATCTTCTAACTTCAATTGGTCAACTTTTCAGCCCGATAGCCAACTGATTCTTAGTGTTTTGTCTGCGGAAAACCCACCTATGCGGCTGACATATGTTAAGTACAAGCTGCCGCTAATTGTGCCCAGGCAACCAAGTTGACCCCAAAAGCACACGCGAGACACAGACTCACACACACACGCACACATAGAGTGAAATGCAGGCGACTAACATTAAAAGTCCATTAAAAAATTATGTTCGCCATGGTGTACCAGGGCTCCTGTTTAGGTGGTATATACACTCTGGGTGTGCGTGTGTGTGTATGTCCAAATCTAAACTGGCAAGCGACCTCAGCGGGCTGTATAGATGCATAAACGCATATGTACATATGTATGCGTGTATGTGTGTGTGTGTGTGTGTGACTATATTTAGAGCACAAGAAATTGTTGCATTTAACTGGCAGCCAAGCAATGCGAAACCATAATTGTAATTGCAAATGCAAATGTCGCACGTATTGATTGCATTAATTAATTAATTTGTGACTTAATTTCATGGGCTTGCGGCAATCAGCGCACGCACGACTGCCAAAATGTATTAATATTGCAGCAGCAGTTGCAGCTGTGAATGCAGCAACACCAACACCAACACCAACAACAACAACAACAGCAACTGCAGCAGCAACAACAACTACGCTGATGCCCTGGACGTGTGTGTGTTTGCGTTGTTATTAATTGAAATTTAATGGCAAAATATATTTTTATTTATTTATTCGACTGCAACTGCATTTATGCGCACTTCCGTCGCCCTCGCCGTCTGCTGCTGCTGCTGCCGCTGCTGCTGGCGTTGTCATTTACCATTTTCCGTGCCGTATGCTCTATGTGCCCCTTTGTTGCCATTCGGCGGCGGTTGGCATTTAACATCAAAAGCCTTGGGCCCCGCCCCCCACCGCTGCCAACGAGCTTGTAATTGATTTCACTTAAAATTTAAATAATTCATGCGGTTTTTACTGCAAAATGGATTTCGCAAATGTTGTTGTAGTCGCTCCTGCATGTATGGCCTTATACATGTGTATGTATGCTCGCATGCTGCTCCGCCAGCTTTGCACGTGAGCTCCTACGATCTCTGCATGTACGTATGTATTTATGCTTGTTTGTGTGCGTATGCACGCGTGTCCTCTCAGCTGCTTTTGCGGCGGTCAGTCGTGCTGCCATTTTATTTTCGCGTTAAATTAAATATGAAAATTAATGTCAACATAATTGAAATGGCAACAACGCAGCCAGCGAACGCCGCTCCACAGCTGAACTACATAAATGATGGAATTATTTGCGAATTATTTTCGAGATATTCCGTGACAATTATGCGGGACTTGTCCAATCTGTGTACGATTAATGACACTGACCGAAATTACTGAAATTATCTTATTTGTTTATTGACTAACTAATTGAGTTTGTTACTTAATCACTAGAACACAAAACAATTAGCCATTAAATCATATAATCAATATTATTAATATCAGTTTTCAAACCTAATTAAATTCATAGCCAGCACACATTGACGTGATCCACCTTAAAGATGTGACTAAATTAATATGTCATACATACATTACATACACAGATTACCCAGAACACCATTTAGCATATTCTGTGTAAATATATAAGATAACCCAAGAGGGACTCTCAGCACTCGCTTGAAATTGTCCAATCTTTATATATTTTTCCAGAGATATTAAGTCCATTGCCTTTCTTCATTCATTTGCCAAAATAGTCATTAGATAAGAATTGATATGCCCGTTTGAGCCAGTGCTCGGCCATAGGGTATTTGTATTGTATTTCAACAACAGCTTGCAATTAATTATGTTCAGCTGAACATAATGGGGGTGGATAAGCCTCAGTCCGCTGAAATAGCTAAGTATACAGACACACACACATACATAATGTATGCTACGGTATGCGTGTATGCAAATCATATTACGTACAGTGCCTCCCGTTATTTAATGAACACCAAATAACAATCACAAAAAGAGACGAGCTGATTGGCATGTTTCATGCCGCTGACACTAGCAACGAGTTTGCCATGAACTGGATTGGCAGACACACACACACACACACACACACACACACACACACAATACATGCATACATACTATGGATATTTAAAAATATGAATACGAATTATATTTGCATATGATAATGACAGATAAATTGCCAAATGAATACAAGTTTCGGCTTTGAACAACAGTTGCCACTCAGCGATCCATATATTCACTGGATTGGAGCTCTTTTGGCACCTGTCTAAACGTTCGGTCATTAGCTTCATCAACAAAAAAAAAGAAACAATAACGAAACACCTTTAAATGCACGCGAAAGTGTCGAGTCAAAGGCAACAGCCAAAACGAGCCATTGGACAGTAATTGTTTATAATTCCTATTAATTTTGCACTTATTAATAATTTCAGTTTTCTGCTGACTGCCAATGGAAATGGCCAATGTGGAAAATTCACGCGAACTGCAGCAGGTATTCTAGAAGCGAAGGCCACGAAAGGGTCGGATCGACACTTGCATATCTTTGGCTGAAGTTAATTACGAATTGGTTGCTTTTGGATTTCTGCTTTTCAATGATATCATTCGCAGTAATATCCATCGTGATTAAATACTTCGAAATGTTTCCACGAAGCTCTTCGATTAGGGAGCATTTTCCCAGGCACTGGCGGCTCGCTGCTGTTGGCTAAGCACTTTTGCCTCAGCAATTATTTAGAGATCCGCCGAGCAGCTCATATAACGCATACCATACACATCTGATGTGACAGTCCACATACAACTTGGGAACTGCAAGCTAATCAGCGGCACCTCAAACGCCTACGCGAAACGCGGGCCAACAAGTGGCGAGGGCGCCGTTGCCAGGGCCCGAGAGCCGCCGACTCTACATATTGCACACATATCGAGCATAAGGTAAAATGTTGGATATGCGACAAATTTTTCAGCAATGCGCACTCTGTCGCGTCCGTCTCCTCCGTCTCGTCCGCCTCGTCCTTCCCGGCAGTGCACTGCGCGCCCTCCCCCTCGCCCCCCTCGCGGCATTGCACTTCATTTCGTTTGTCGTTGCCCGTTTTGCGTGCGCACTTTTAATTGCAATTGAATTTTAATTACTGCGTTGTCAGCAAAGAATGTTGCAGTCGGCCGTTTAAGAGCTGACAGGCAACGCAGTGCGCCAGACACGCGGACACAATGAGCCACAATGCACCACCGATGTTACCACCACCAACAACAACAACAGCAGCAGCAGCCAGCGGCAGCCAGCGGCAACTGTTGCCTGTTGATATTGGTGATGGGCTGCGAGACGTCTGCTCTGCGTGCTCTTTGTGCTTCAGTTTGTGCTCTGCTCTTTGCCTTATTTACAACCAAGTCGCCAGCGGAGCAATTAAATGAGCTAACTGCTGCCGGCGGCAATCGACGGCAATCGGAAAACGGCATTCGACATAAACGACATTCGGCATTGGGCACTGGGCATTGGGCACTGGGCATTCGACGCTTCACGTTCAACTTCATTAATCAGCAGCTATAAAAGTGATTGGCTGATAACGTTTATCGAACTCTGATGATTCTATTTACTGCCCAGGTATGGGCATAGATAACTTAATGAAAGTGCCATGCAATTAGCAATGTCTGCGCTTGATTGCCCAGACCCACCGGCCCGGCCCGCGTTTGTTCCGACTGAGAGACTACGGCATATTGAAGAAACTTCCTGTAATCACTAAAGATGTCTTCTTAGTTTTTCCCTAATTCATTTATGATTCATTTGAAACATAGACTTGATTTGAAACAATAAACATCGAGCATTTAGCTACTGAAAATTACCTATAATTAGCTATGAAACTCAAGCCGATCTTATAGATAAATTGGATAGTTGATATCTGAGATGAAATTTAATTACAAGGTTTGTTTATTGGTGAGTTACAAGAGATGTGTGGCGATGATAGAGTTTTTTATGTGCTAAACTGGCGCTATATTTGGTTGACTAATTTAAGCCTATAAATATAAAAATTGTTAATAGAGTAAATAATTAACAAACTCTAATTTAATGAAACATGATGAAATTGTATTACGTGAGAAGTTTTAACAGGACAGTTCTTCTCCATCTTAAATATTCCTAAGGTATTTTTATTATTTTCGACTATATCGACTATAGAATTAATCTGAAAATCGTGTTTATATTCATATCTCACTCCATATCGAAGTTCATTTGAGTCTTTGTTTGTAAAAATCTTCTTGGTTTGCAGTATTTTAACATTAATACTTGAATGAGACCAATAAATGCATACTTATGTCACCAACTAGATATGTATTTGTCTCACTTATATATATGCTTTCTGATAATAGATAAATAATGCACAATGCATCATAATGACTCATGAATATTACATTTTATACAATCTATAGCACTGTTATAATTTT